AATTTTTGTGTCACTGATAGCTCTCAATGAACCCAAATCACACTAAGGCCGTCTCCCTCAGTGTTTACAGTGTTTACAGTGTTTACAGTGTTTACAGTGTTTACCAACCGATCTTATTGACGAAAAAATCCCGGAGCTGCGACCACGAAGTTTTTCATAGGGCTGCTCTGATTGGTTAAAATTTGAAATCAAAATGAATTTTTGCAATTCGTTTTTCGATTAACCGCAATAACCACCATCCGCAACATCTCGATCATTAGCTAATTACATTGATGAAGCTACTTGAGAACACCCTTAGTCATAATATTTATATCGTCAAATTTAGAATTTCGATACTTCAACAAAAAATAATGCTATGTTAAAATATATTTAGACACTCAAATGTCTAAATATTTAACTTAATAGTGTATTTCGGCTAACACTACCACTTGGGTTGTACTACATGGTATGTATAACGAATATATATTGACATAATATATAATGTTTAAGTTTCGTCCATTTCTAATTTAAATCAATTTAAATAATGTCAGAATTGATGAAATCTAGTTGTAGCATAAATTATTATATTTCATATATTAAGAATTATATATATTTTCTAGCAAAATAGTATGTTATATTACAACTAGCATATTCTTCAAATACAAGCACACTGAAAATTCGGGTTTTTACTCTGTTAATAATTAATTTATGTGTACATAATCTCAAGGTCTTACTATTACACTTTTATATAATAGATATTAATTGGGAATATGAACAAATATATGGGGAAACAAGTTCAAGTAAAAAAAAAACTAATGATCCTTTTTCTCATATATTACTTATAGTCTCCAAAAGGTTTACAAGAATTAATGTTAAAATTATTTGGTATATGTTCTTTTGAACTTAAATTGTGGAGAATTTCTTCTGGAAGAATGCTTTTTAATACATAGGACATATATGTAATATAACACTTTACCTTAATGTTATGTAGAAAAAATATAACCAAATATTTTAAAAAATACAGCATGTCCTCTCTCTCTCAATCTTACTTTGTATTATGATATCATGGCGATAAATCTCTACGTTGGCTAAATAATAGAACAATTACTATGCAACTTGAACAATAAGTACCTAGAATAAAACGATTGGAATGCATTGAGTTGCAAGAATATCAACTTAATTTAGAACAAAGAGGAAAGGACATTAGATCATATGAAGATTACCTTTCTTACTTCCAAAAATACTGCGGCGATTGTTTTGAATACAGACATGTTACTCTTTCAAAACCACCTGTTCAATATGTCCTTTCTTATCGACTCATGATGTAAGAAGCGTTGGTGTTAAGAAATCTTCTGAATGAGAACACTACATGATTAATGCTCCTAAACCTCACATCTTACTTTTTAAATATGAAAAAGGTTACCAACTCAAGTATGGAATTCCACAACCTCAAAATGAATTAGTTGAGCAAGATAAACAGAATGTGCAGTATGAACAGGATTCTCAGTATTAATAAAATATCTAATATCGACATCAACAGAATGTGAAGTATCATCCTCAACAGAATGTTTAATATCATCATCAAAAT